GGAGATATGACCTTGTTTTTCAGGTCATGTCATGAGCCAAATGAGGAATTCTCAACATCTTGCGTTGGCTGTATGGGCCTTGTGAGCTTTTGACACCTTGATTTCGGCCTTTTTTGCCAGTCTTACCTCCCACCTATCATAAAACATGTTGTTCGACGATGCACAGATGTCAAGGTCAGGGTCAAGGTCAGCCTAGGTCATCTAAAATAACTGCGTTTTAGGCAAGCTGAATTTACTTTTCGTGAAGTTTTTTGACTGAATTTTTGGTAAAAGCTTCTCAGATCATGATTTCATGTAACATGGACCCATAAACAATCGGTGCACACATCCGCATACACACAGACACACACAGACATACAAACACATATCATTGACCTTGACCTAACTTGACCTGAAATGACCTCAGCAGCAAAAACCTGGTCGGGTAGTGTGACAAAGAGGTTCTAGCTGGCTTGGCACTAGAAAACGGCATCGTCATCGGTATATGATAAGCAGCGCACTTGATATCCAACTGTGACCCAAAACAGCAACATTTTTTTAGTTTTACCTGACCTGGAAGGTCAATGACTGACCTGAGAAGGTAAAACTGGGTAATGGGTATCATTCATTGGATTCGTCTCTCCCCAAATAATCTTTTTGGTCTTTACCGCGAAGCTCTATCTCCAACAGGAACGCAATGGCGCGGGGGTGGTGGCACCCCCTCCCCATGTGCGTTCTAGGATGGGAAAATGGCATGTGCGGGCGAGGGTTAATTAAAGGGACATGTTCATGTCTAACATGGGGAATGGAGTTGAGATAGCAGTTTTGCTCGTTTGATAGGCTAAAACCACATGATCCGGAAGCCATTCGTTCTTAAAAATATAAATTGACAGCGCTAGAGCGCAATTTCGATGGTCTTTACCAGATCGCCAAGGTCTTTACCAGATATGACCAGAGGTGTATGACGTCAGCAAGAAAAAGCCTAGATTTCAAGTTAACGGGAACGGATTCGCCTAACAGATTGGTCTTTTTAAAAATTGCGTTCAAGATTGTCCGCAAGCAGCATGTTGAGACGACACGGGCAGATGGAGCGCGAATTGTTGTAAAGCTCTTCAGAATGCTTGCTTCTGATTGGGAAGGGGAAAGTGGGTGTATTGCGCCCTCTTAACCAATTGCGCCCACCAACATTCCCACGAATTCAATGGCATGTTTATAATTTTGTGTTCGAAAACAATATTTTCACCACCTGATAGTTCATTTTATGGCCCAAGCTCTCCGACGAAGCCAATCAGCAGGGCTCAGTTACGCCATCAAAGATATTACGGCGTTTTCTTAGCCTTTTTGCAGTATTTTGAACCGTTGGCTATAAAAATATGTGATACGTGTGTGATTTTCAGAGTAATATTTAGAAAATAAGCCCATTTTTTCATTATATTTCACTTAAACAGTAAACTTCCTTCAGCATATTTATGATAACTTCTACGCTTTTATTAAAAAGTACCTCAATTCTAATTGCGCCCATGGCAATTGCGCCATGGGGGCGCAAATAGAATAATGGTGTAGCTATTGTATCACGACAGTATGAATGCATCATCAACTGATTGCAATAAAGAAAGAGTTTAATGCCAGGCAGAGGAGCAGCCCGCTGTCGCCAGTCCGCAAATTATTTCTCTCGTCAAACTTAAAATGCAGCTGCCATTTAGGCTGCGAACTTGTGGTGTAATTCACAAAATACTGCATTTTCAACATTGACTCGGCCGTGAGGGGTGACAGCTATGATCAAAAAGTAAAAACTGATGTCAACAAGTTGTCGAAACGATAAGAACTAATAATTTTGAGAGAGACGAATGAAAATTTAACCGTATAGGTGCATACTTTCACATATATCTAGTCGGTTACATAAAACGTTTTCGTTGCACTTTTACAAACATACGGACACATGTAAAGTTATTTACCTGGGCAAAAACATCGCGATTTAAATTTACATTTATTATTTATCCAGCCTGATAAACATTATAAATGTTTAAGTAAGCCGCAATGACATTACACTGCCGGGGTGCATGCATTCCGTCTCATTCGCTTAGCCATGTTTAAGTATAGGGCGCAATTGGATTCTAATTGCGCCATCCCCCTGGCGCAATTTACAGCAGTTTTCGGTAAATGCGCCCTTTTGCATGTTTCTGAAAAAGCAGCTGTCGGAAGCAAACGAAACATTCTTAATTGATCGGGAGGCTCTTAAATCGTAGCTAATGAGTTCCTCTTTGAAGTGGTTACCAGTGCATGCTTATATCTCCAGCGGTTTTCTTACAATTAGCGTTTTTCCTTAAGGTGGCGCAATTCACCCTCCTTCCCCTAATATTCTTTGACGTTTCAAGCTGGAGAACTCAATAAGGCTTTCCTCATACATTTTGCGCGTTTTTGTTTGCTGGTTGTCAAGGCAAACAAACAAAAACCAACTACCAAGATACCAATAAGAAACCAAAAACCCTTTTGCGCGTTTGTTTTTATTTTTCCAGTAGCTTTGCTGTCAAGCAAAGCCGTTCAACCGAAGCCGTTGTTGATGAAGCAAAGCTGTTTTCTAGTGAAATTGTAAGTTACCAGTGAGTATTCGCAATGCTGTGATTTTTTTAAAGTAAATTGATGAAAGTGATCCAAAAGTGACCCGGCGTGTGTGGGTGTTGTGAGTGTGATGAATGTGTGAGTGTGCTGATAAATTGGGGGCTTTCAGTAGTGGGCAGTCACCACTGATTGCAGTGTTGACTACTTTGCTTCTTTTTTGTTCCCCTAATTCGTATAGCTTTCTCCCTTCTGCTTTTTTATGTTACATTTCATTTCCTAGCAGGGAGTGCCGCGACTTGCAATTTTAAGTTATTATGGTGTTAACGTAAGGTTCTGTGTGTCGCTGGGATAGAGGGAGGGGGCACTCCTGGTCACCTGATAATGGGTGGCGGCATAGAAAAAAAAAATTATTTCTGAAATAAAGCACCAGTTCAGATCTAGGTCATTTTGTCAGCAAAGCAAAGCATTAAGCAAAGCAAAGCAAAGCAAGGCAGGCAGCCAGCCAGCCAGCCAGCCAGGTTTTTAAGGCAAACAAACAAAATTCGACATTTAACCTGACCTGTGACGTCATCGGTTTGACCTAGGTCAATGAAATTGGGTCACAAGGTAGTTTCCCGTTGGAGATATCCAACACCGTTTGTCACCGCTTGTCGCTATTTTGCGTGGTTCTCGAAATCTTAGGGGAAGCAAAATGCCCCATTAACCCTCCAACGGGGTGCGTTGCTTGGCAGACCCCCACGGGGCGCGGGCCCGCGCCCCACTGGGGTCTGCGTATAACGTGCCCTACTTGCGGGAGCTATTCATAGCCCCCCCCCGCATAACTCCAAAACTACCAGGCTGATTGTCAAAATTCAAACGGCGTCTGATAGCCCCAGAAAAACCGTCTAACGAAATCTAATTTCATTGACCTTGAGGTAACCAATGATGTCACAGGTCAGGTCAATGTAAAGATTATCAATGTTTTTCTTGTTCACATTTTGGGCTCTGACCGCCGGCTTACAAGTCAGATCAGGCTCATTTTTTGTTTACACACTCGTGAATAGGTGCTTTAGATACCCTCAGGGTACCTGCTGCCTGTACCTAACTTGTACTTCGATTTTCAGGTCAGGTCATCAGAGGTCACGGAAGTCTTATATTATGCATCGGTCAATTGACGCATGTTTCATGGTCCATTCAGACCATATATGTCGAATTCGGTGTCACCTGTGTCATTTGAGGCTCTTTTCAGCTGAATATAGCTGAGGTCAGGTCACTTTCAGGTCAAAAAGGTCAAATTTTAGAGTTAAAATGTTTCAATAAAAAAAGATGTTCATCAGATGCAGTTTGAGCTCCGAAACACAATGGTGCTATTTATATTGCTGTAGGAGGTCAATAACGTACTGAAATTGATTTGAAAAATTTATAATGGTGAACATATGGTGAAATTTGTGCTATAGGTACCTAATGCGTATAACTTGGCTCTTTTTAAAGATATCTGGCTACATCTTGCTAGAGTATATCATGGGCATGTGTTCTATCACATACAGGGTTTATAAATTGTATATTGTATATTCTATGTAGATTCTCTTTTTCGAAAAGTCAAAAAAAAAAATTAAAAGAAAGATAAAAATATAAATTTTATAGTTTGATGCATATATCTTTGATATATGCATTAAACTGACAGATTTTCAAAATTTGAGAATCTGAGAAAGCAGTTTGATAGCTAAGTGTATTATAAATCCTCGCATGCAGAGAAATTGGATCTAGCTTAAAAACTGAGCTCTTGAGAGCAATTGCCGCAGTTCAAAGTTATGCGTCGAAATCGACCGAACATGCCGTCACTCTGACGTCATTTACGGCCGACTTATGGTAGCTACTAAGTTCATATTTTCACGCAAGGTGTCAAATTGATGCAGCCAAAGATACTGAAAGTTTCGCGTTGATACGTTTAGCGTTTTAGAAGTTATTGCAGAAAAATGAGAGGGTGGCTATGAATAGCCCTCCCCCCCCCGCAGTGGGGCTTGGGTTAACTAGCAATACGGAAGAGGGCAAAACGAAAACAGATTTGCGGAAGCAGATCTTGCACCAAAAATTTCGAAGTTGCAGGAATATACCTACACAAATACCTAGATGCGAGACGACGGCGTTCGTATTGGCCTGAGAGTATCGTCTAAGGAATTGTCATGGCAGATCTTTACCCGAAACGCCAGATCGTACTGGAGCTCGCCCATCGTTCAAGTCGCCTCCGGCCGCCGCGGGCAGGCAGGCAGTGACCATTGGTATCTACTTATACACCCATTTATCGATGACTGGATACCACTTCAAGGTTATATTTGTACGAGTCCCCGTAACCGGTCGACGAGGGGTCACACCTGCGGTGATTGGTTGATCGTCTACCAATCACAGCGCGCGTCAGACGGCAAACAAGAGAAGCGTCAATCAAGACTTTCCGGACACCCTGTATGGATACAAATACGCCATGCTTGGAAGCTACTTGTATTTGTCACATATGCACACCGTTGATTATGATTATGCCACAGACATCGGACACTGAACCACTGAGATCGCTGAGGATGGCAATTGATATCGGACACTGAGCCAGAGGGGACGGCTGAGATAATCAGCGGCCGCCGGGCTGCGTGCAGCTAGCGTGGAGCGTCTGCCGCGAGCGGCCACGGCCCGCGCCCAAACCCTCGGCTCACACCGGTCACACCCGTCTGTCCCCCGCTCGGTGACGGCTCACCGCCGCCGGCGCCGGCCGGCGTCCAGCATGCGCACCATGTTGTTGACGTACTGCAGGTAGTGGCGCTGGCACTCGACGTCGTCGGCGCAGATCGGCGGCACCTCCTGCTTGACGCGCTTGCAGAGCGGCAGGCGGGAGCGGCGCTGGCGGCCGGCGGTGAGCTGCTGCAGCTCTCCGCCCGACAGCCGGCCGAGCTGCTGCAGGTCACCGCCCGACAGCCGGCCGAGCTGCCGCAGCTCTCCGCCCGACAGCCTGCCGAGCTGCCGCAGCTCTCCGCCCGACAGCCGGGGACGCAGCTCTGGTGCATCGTCTGCGGTGGGCGGGCTCGGTCAGAAAACTGGGGACGGTATGGGAGCGGGCTTGGTCAATCTAAATAGTATGTTTGGCCTGTACGAGAGATGAAAAGTGATTCGAAGTTCGACCTTATAACACAGAAAGTAAATACAGCAAAGACCTTTCGTAAATCGTTACTCTGGAGCCGTCGTAAAATCGTTAATGGTAAATCGTTAGTCGTTAAGCCGTTATTAAGTTAAAACTGGATTAATCAATTGTCCGATGTTTCACTTCATTCGGTTCCTCAAGGACTGGTAAACAAACATTCCTTGAGGAAGCAAATAAAGCCCTTGAGGAATAGAGCCCTTCAGCCGTTGAGGAAGCGAATAAAACGAGACGTGGGGAAATTCATGTGTCTTATTTTAAATTGATCACGATTTAATGACTAACGATTTACGATAACGATTTTATGACGACTCTAGAGTAACGATTTACGAAATTTACGAAAGGTCTTTGCTGCAATAACTTTGTCAGCCTGGCTAATTTTATTAACCATAGACCTCTGTATACCGGTATACAGAAGTCTCTGTATCAACTTAAAACACGGAATACTCGTCCTCTTCTTTGGCCACTGACCCCGTTTCGAGCTGGCAGTCCCACTCTAATCTCTATCGCCGCAGGCTGCTAATTGTTTGGAGTGAAAAGGAGTACATACTACAAGGATTGAACACTATTTCGTTGACCGTTCGCGATTCTCGGCCCTCGGCGGTCTGTCCCTTGAAGAGTGCTGAGCCCCAAATCTGCACCCGCTGGTGATTGCTAGTTGCATCAGCACAGTGCATCGCCTTCACCCTCGCAGTTGTTGGTTTTGAAAAATCATGTTATAAATCCATACACTGGGATAAAATCCTCCGTCTCGGTACTGGACCTGTTTGACCACCATCTTCCGTTATATTTTTTACATGCATGTAGAGACAACGGTGGCACGTGTGTAGTGCCGCGAAATTTGGTGTGTGTTTACACAGACGACGCCATATTTGGTCTTAAAGTTCGATCGTTCCTGTTTGAAGATGGAACAATGAAGGTAATCAGCACATTTAACGCCTTAATCCCGTATTGTGAAGGCTCCCAGACCTGTACAAACAGCATGCTTTTTATCAACAGAGTGGTGTAACTTTGAAGAAAAATCCATCTTCCTTCTATGCCATGTCCCTCATTGAATTTCAATGAAGGGGTCGTAAAATTGTCTTGGCCTTACGTCAACGATATGGAAATTACGAGAGAAATAATTTGCTGCTACTGATTTCCTCATCAATACCCCGAGCTCAAAAATTCTAGGAAATTAGCTGTAGGAATTAAACGTTTTGAAGGCATGGTTGTTTATCTTGACCTGGTGACCTCACCTTATGTGACCTATGGTGAAACATTTTACGCAGACTGCGAAATTGATTGATCATAATATGACAAGTTTTACTTTCTAAGAAGCAGAAAACTGGCAAGTGTGGCCGAAAACGACCCTTTCCCACGCGAAGGCTAGAAAATCATGTACTGGAGCCAAGCATATCTAATGGGTTAACGTCCCCAGTCCCGCCACTACGAAGCTGCCCGAGACCTTGTAGGTGTTAGGCCGAAAAAAGACATTACTTACCAAGAGTATTTCTGTTGAGATATAGCGCTCTTGCCGGAGCCAATGTGTGTAGGAACAACATGACAGCCAAGCTCACACCCAGTACCTTCATTGGCTGGTTGGGTCGCCTCGAGTGTTTTTAGACGCTAACCGACCTGCAAGACAGGCTGGTGTTAGGCCAAGGCATGGATAAGAGATCAGAGGATTTGATATCGAGACGAGAGCCTATACGCACTTGTAAGGAAATGCAATGAAAGGCTGCGCAATACCTATCTATTGAAAGTGTAGGATATTTTCCAAAAGGGTGTGTTAGAAAGTCGTCTGACGAAGCGCATGCCTATCCCAACAAGCTGCATTGTCCGCTCAATATACAGCAATACAAAATAAATTACAAATCGTATAAGACAATACAATTGTCAGTTAGACTACAAGATCATCACTGAATATTCCTTGATGTGCACTAGAAGTTTCATTAGTCACATTCAGGATATGCACCTACCTCGAGCGGTGACAGTGCTGAGTCGCTCCCTCCCCGGAGTCGAACCCAATCCGGCAGTGGCAAGTGGCGGCGGCGGCGGCGGTGGCGGCTTTTATGTCGTGCGTCGCGTGCGTCGCGCAGCCGCTGATACCGCGGCGACACATATTAGCCGCCGGCTCTGAGGGATGAGTCCCGGACCGGTTCACTGGGGACCCATCGCTGGTCGGCCGGACGCAGCGGGAAACTATTGTGTCGGAGGCACCGCCAGGCTGTGGCGCGGGGACGATATCGCGTCTCGGATTGTAGGTACTGTTTTTAGGTATGTCCAATTGTCGACTCTTGGAGTTGGGACTCGTATCAGCCAAACGATTCTAATGCTACTGCTCATGTTACTGATTTCATGCGATATATCTCGGTCATGGGTTTGACGCTTCTGTTTCCTTAACCCTCGCCGGCACAGGCCATTTTACGTCCTTCGACGGCACAAGGGGGTACGACCTCCCTCGCGTTTGGCCCCTGATCGAGCTAGAGCTTTGCGGAAAAAAGAGCTCAGCGTGCTGCCCGTGACGAGAGGAAGCCGATGATACCCAATTTTAAGGTCCTAGGTCATCGGTTAACCTTCCAGGTCAGGTCAATGGCCCAAAAGTCGGGAAAATCGGGACCTGTTAGAAAGTCGGGGTGGCTACTATTGGGGTTTTCAGGGTGCTGATCACGAATATCGTGTTAGTTCTGATCACAGATTATGTCTTTAAGCATTTAGACCAGGTCGGGTCAGGTCAGGTCAGGTCAACCAGTAGAGGTCGTGACGGGTATTCGTGGTACGTGTCAACCGCCTCTGACAGCCTCGTAGCATGTTATGAAGGCACCGAAACTACTTCGTAAATGTTCAAATGGTTGCTCAATTCGAATTCAGCTAAAAAAAACTAGCCTAGAAACATATAAAACACGAAAAAGTGAGCCGAAGTCACCAAAGGTCAATGACCTGACCTGACCTTCAGGTGACCTTCACATCCACCCTTATTCATGGGAGCAACATCAAATCACATGTGATTTGCATGTTTGAACGTTTGAAACCACAAAAAGCTTGCAAACGCGCGGATAATGCGACAGCGAGCCGACATACGCCGAATCGCGATTCTGGCCAAACATAGTCTCGAAAAGTAGGTCACAGATCAAAGGTCATTTGGGTCAGGGTCATGACATTTTTGGGGTAGATGTAAAATTGATCAATGCGAGGGTACTGAAGGTTTCGACGCGATCAGACGCTTTTTACGCGAGTTATTTGCGAAAAACCTTAGGGGGGTTTGCATTAACCCCCCCCTGTGCCGGCGAGGGATAAATTTGTTGTTACTAAAAGATGGATATGTCTTTAAAAACAAATATTATCTCCAAATCTGTCGGGACTTTGCTTGCATATATACGTCGCTGTGTAACTTCAAGTATCTACTTCAGTTAAATACCAGTCGTTACGGTAGGTATCTTATCTTGTGAGAAGAGGCTCAGGCACGGTTTTATGATTTGGATGAGTGGGACGTGTCACCCGGAAATGCCCAATATTAGGCACAGCTGTAATAAGGAACCGAAATTAGTAGGGGCCCAGACCCCACCCTCCCCTCCGGTGGCGGAGCCCCTGCACTTGTGAGGAAAGAACAAAGAGGAAAGCTTAGGAGAGGCAAACGTTCCAATTGCTATTCTATTTTTGTCCCTACCAAGTGGTGTAAAACTTTAACGAGAAAGGTGTAACATAATTTCTCATTATCTTTTCATATTGTACCTATGTGTCTTAACGTCACTGAAATGCCATCTAATCCAGTGTTTTGAATCCTTTGTTTTGAAAAACGTTTTACGGGTGCTCAATGGCAACGTCTTTGACAGCCTTGACACATGGGATCAACAGCTAACTTGTCCAAATAGAAATGAAAACTCGGATGCATCCAAATTAATAATTGCTTTCTGAGGGTAATGGTGTATTCCGATCTATGATATCAAATTCATTCTTGAGCAGTCTAAATGGTTAAAGTTTGTGAAATAAAGCCTCATTTAAATTATGCCATCGGTAGATATGCATGGCGAATCTTGCTTCAAAGAATAATGGTAAGATTGTAACGGTAAGATATTCTTTCTGTACTGGCTACTATGAGAACATCTGCATTTGAAATGTTTTTGTAGACTAGGCATGTTGGAATGACAATTTTTAGAATTTGTTGCATGTAAGAATTCCAAATATCATGTATGTACAATGTACATACATACAGTCCACAGCATAAGTAATGTTTCAGTCATGGGTATGTTCTGCTTCTGAAGCTTAGGAATGATTAGCCAGACCACAATGAAACGTTGAATGTAATGTAGCTAACCTGTATCGTTACCCTTGGAGCTGCAACTTAATCTATTAACGTCTTCTTTTCGATCACTCCGCATTAAGCCATCCGTTGAGATTGGTAAAACCGCACATAACTTTAGCAGTGGGCTGTAGGCTTTAAATTTTAACTTTCAAGCAAAATGTTATTTCGGATTGTCATCACTCGGCCAGCTACGCGACATCTTGCACTGATTCTGCTTTGGTTGCAAACTGCAATCGTTCTAAAAGCAGGTAGGTCGTAAACATCTCAACCGTTCGCTAAAGTCTCAGCATTCCGGCCTACTGGCATTCAATGCGATCGGCTCGGCGTGCATGAGCGCTGCATTGACGACCAAATGAAGTGTCAACACCCCTCCTGATCGCCTGCACATTGATCTCCCGAGCCCGGTGTCGCCGCGACACTGTCCCAACAGGCCCCCGCTCAATCACCGGCCACCGATTGGCTTCATCTCGGCGAGACGCACAGGGGTGCTCTACCGAGACGCGTAGGTGTCTCCACCGAGATGCGAAGGCATTCTCTACCATAATGCATGGCCGTGCTCTACCAAGCTGCGTAGGAATGTTCAGGTAGAATTCGTAGGATAGCGTAATGCGTAGCGTGTTTTTTTTTTTTTACCAAGGCGTGTTAGTGAAAGCAATAAGCATGCTCCACAAAACACAACAGGCACTAAGTCGAACACAGGATTAGCACACTAAGACGCCGACGTCAGTCCGAGATATGTTCCGCGGCTGAGCAGCGTCTCCCGGCGGTCCCAGGGGCCCGACAGCGCGGCGCGGATGGCTCCGGGGGTGGTGCTGATAGTTCCCTCATGTGTCCGCCCGGAATGCTAACGGCGCTTTGACCCTAAAAATGCCACCTGACGGGCAGCAGCCGGGCCGATAGCGAGTTTATAAGGGACATGACTGCCAGCTCACGACGCTTGCTTATTATCAGCAATAGTCTCAGAGGAGGAGACAATAAAATAAAACATAGAAAATGGTTTTGTTTTTGTTACAGCCGCACACACTGAAAAAAGTTTTTACCATCAATTTACTAAGTTACTAGCTTTGGTAAATTTTACCATCAGCCTACCATCATATTACTACCAGCCTACTATGGTGCTGAATACTATCCTGCCTTGACATGTTGATATTACCATGGTTACGTTTATCAGGGGTGGTTTTGTACCCCAGTTTACAAGGTGGTAACCACCTGAGGCTAGTAGATACCCTCGTAAGCTAATATTCCCTACCATAGTAAAATCAACCTTTCCACGGGCGGATCCAGCAGGTGAATTCGGCGATCAAGTCTCCTCCTTTCCATAGAGGTGTTTGCCAATTTTTGATATGTTGGAAGGAGCGTCATCCAAGGACTAGCTGAGACCCTGAGCAATTAATAGTTTTATGGACGAAAGGCCAGAAATTTCTTGCAACAGTTCCCTGGGTGTGCTTCTGCTGCTATGGTAAGGTATACCATGGCAACACCATGACAACACTACACCCTTACTAACAATCCACGTGCGTCTGACTCTGCTGCAGCGGCGCCGCCATGTCAGTTCCGGCCGCGCGCCGGCGTTGTGAAGGTGCTCCGTGGTTTTAAATATTTGAACGGTGATTGTGTGGGTGGTTAGCGTAGCTGACGGTGGAGGATACTCGGAAATAACAAGTAAGTCGTTGTATCTTCAGCATAATAATACTTATCTCACGAGTGCCATTTCCAGCAAAGATCGCAGCCTTTGTTTCGGTTCATGTTGTTGAATTTCCTTGAGACCCTGTTGGACCGGGTAGGGGGAGGGTGGTGGGGTGGGTATCATTGCGGGCATTTCCCAGCGTCGGAAATCAACGTGTTTTTTTATTTGTTAACCCACGCCTCACTGGGGTATGTGCTCTAACGCGCCCCACAGCACGTTACAGCACGTTACAGTGGGGGGGGGGGGGGCTCCTAACTCCGAAACTACTGGGCCGATTGTCAAAATTCAAACGGCCCCTGGTAGCCCTGGAAATATTGTTGAGCGAAGCCTAATGTCATTGACCTCGAGGTCATCGATGACGTCACAGGTCAGGTCAAAGTAAAAATATCAGCGTCTTGGCACTCTGGGTGCCGGCCAACAAATCAGATCAGGCTCATTTTTTGTTTGCACACTCGTGAATATATGCGTAACATAACCTGAGGGTACCGAACTTGTACTTCGAATTTTTCAGGTCAAGGCCATCTCATCCCAGGTCACGAAAGCTTTATATCGTGCATCGGTGACGTGAGACATGTTTTATGGTTCATGTAGGCCATATATATCGAAATCAGTGTTGTATGTGTCAGTTTAGGCCATTTTAGCTGAATATAGCTGAGGTCAGGTCAGGTCACTTTAGGTCAAAAATGGTCAAATTTTGAAGTTGACATTTTTCAACAAAAAAGGTGTTTGTCAGATGAAGTTCACATATATTCAACGCATATGTGTTCAAACACATATAGACCCCGTTTCCATGGGCATCACTGATCCGGATCAGCAAACTTAAATCGTATTATATTTCTCGAACTCTTCGTTACATGATATAATTCCAAGTGGATTAGGCTTATATAATCAGTTAATCCCTTATTTTCATTTTCATATATTGTCTAACTATACTGGATTAGCTAATCCATTTTTACTGATCCGGATCAGTGATGCCCATGGAAACGTGGTCATATTCTGCTTTTTTTCATTCAGAAACGTATATGTAAAAAAATAAAAAATACAATTTCTGAGTTTTTATATTTATAATTTTCAAAATATTCAACATTTCGAAAGTCCGAAATCAGTTTGGTAGCCCTGTAGAGTCCACCCATGCAAAAAAAAGGATCTAGCTTAACCCTCAAGGCGGTGGGGGGGGGGGGCATTTTTTGCATCCATCTTTAGTTTTTTTTTCGATATATCTCCAGAACCGCTGCGCC